TAAAAAGGGTGGCGGGGAAGGTCGTGTCTTGGTACTCCCTGTCCCTGCCTGCAGTGTGACTGCTGTCGGTGCTCCAGGGGCGGGACCAGCTGCAGTCAGTGGAGAGGCAGAGCTGGGAGTCCGCCTGCCCCGGCCCTGCGCCCACCACTATCACTTCCCTAGCTCAGTGGAGAGTGTGTGTGACACGCTCACTAGTAGGAGCTCAGAGAAGGTTTGCTGAATGAATGTGAGAGAGTCCGTAAGGGTTTATGCAAGTGCGTGCATGGGATTTAATGCGTGCGCATCGGAAGAGTGCGGGCTGTGGGGGCGGAGGAAACAACTCCGCGTGGATCAGATCCTCGACGCGATTAGGGGATGGGGCAGGAGGAATACAAAGCCCGATAGTTTCTTCTGACTTCCCAAACTCGCTCGGAGGGTGGGGAGGAGAAGTGGGTGGCAAGCCTTCGTAATTTCCTGGTTAGGAGCGCTCAAGCCAGGTTCCCTTAATCGGCTCTGCAGTCTCTTGTTGCTCCAGGGCTTGGGAACTGCTTCTCCAAGACCCGTAGCTACCTCAGACAGTCCCCGCACAGAAGTCAGCTCCTTGGGCTCATACAGCGGCCCCCACCGTCCTAGTGATGGCGGAGGTTAGTGTAGTCTTCTGTGCAGCCATCCTCCAAGCTCAGTGCCAGTTCCTGCTCCCCTCCTTCCCCTCCCCCACGCCTCCCAAGTGTGGTATTCGCAGTGGAACAACCTTAAGCATCAATCTTGCTTTCTCTGCCTGGGCTACTCACTTTTTTTGTCCCCGGAGCCTCAGTTTCTCTGTCTGTATATTGGGGAAAAAGATCTGCATCACGTTTGCTGTGGGGATTACAGTGAAGAATGATGGGGAGCTCCCAGCGTGTTCTGGCATCAAGTGTTTACTAGCTCAGAAAGGTTCAGACAACTCCCTTCCCCGCCCAGGCTTCCTTCCCCAGCAGGCTGGCCTACTCTGCTCCCCGAGTTGGCCGGCCAAATTCCCCCTGGAGCTGCCTTGCCCTGGCTGGGAAGACAACTCTGGGTGCCTGCGAGGCCAAGAGGCCTCAGGTTAGAGAGTCCTACATTTCTTTCCCAGAACCTCCCCTCTATCTCCATACCGCACGGGAGCGCGCGGGACCGGTTGAGATGTGGCTGGGTAGCCTGCGCCACCGCGGCGCAGAGGAGGACGCACAAATTGTATTTCAGCACCAGGTCTTTCTGGGTTAATGAGCTGACACCATGATTAAAGCTGACCATTTGTAATGTGTCTCGACCCTGCCGCCGAGCCCTGAAGAGGTTAATGCGGTGATGGAGGCCGGCACCTGCCCCTCGCGGGCCTCCGGAGCCGCGACGCATAACCCCTGGCCTCCGCCCCCTCTCCTGCCCCTGCCCCGGCTGCGCTGCCGACTCCTAATCAATTAGCCCATTAACAAGCCCTTCGAGGAGTTAAGTAGGGAGAGTTCTGCCACGGGCAGGGCCACAGTCGGTAACTCACAGTAGCTAATGATATTACAAGCGCTTTACTTAATAACCTGGGCGCGGCGGGGGCGAGGAAGGAACTGCATCGTCATGGTGCAGCGCCTGGACATTTGTGGGGACTGATTCCAGAGTCTTCTCTCACCCTTGGCTGCATTTAGGGGGCTCACTAGTGACCGGACTTCTAGGATCTCTTGGCGGAGAGGTCGTGAGGCCGCAGCCACAAGGGGTGGGGTAGCTTGAGCACCGTGGGCCTTGCCTTACCTGTTTTCATGAAACTTGTGTAGGCTGTGGCACCAAACCGCTTTGCCTGCGTCCTGCTGATTCTAGATCAGGTAACAGGTGATCTAGGAATTAAAGGGGAGAGAGCCAGGGCTCAGCAAGGGGCCATGAGAAAGTGGGAGGGAACCATGATATATTGCACTCCACGGTGGGCTTGGCTAGTGCTGGGCACTTTGACCTCACTACAGCCTCCACGAGATAGGCATTGCTTCCCCAATTTTAGGAAAGAAGAAACCTGAGGTTTAGAAAATCTAAGTATCCTACCCAAGGTCACCCAGCCAAAATCTGAATCGACTCTGCCCAATTCTAATACCGTGTCCCCGTCGCCACCTCCTTCCTTCTTCACTTTCCTGGGAGCAAAGCGCATCTATTTCTGCAGCAATTCCCAGACCTCCAATAAACGAGATTTACCAAAAAACGAGATTCACTTAGGGCACGGGCGGGCTGCGGGCTGTTCAGCGAAGGTTTACGGAGTACCTACTATGCGCTCCTAGTGCTTCTAGCCCTTCGGACTCTTTTCCATTCCCACCTAAGGCGATCGGAGAAGTTCACTTCACCAATGAGGGCAGTGAGGCTTTGATTAGATCAGACTTGTCCAAGTTCACGCAGTGTGTAAATGGTGGTGCTGGGACTTGTACAGGGATCTCTTGACTCGGGATCTAGAGCTTCCTCCCTTCCCCCAAAGATCAGGTAGCCCCGTTGGGCCAGTGACAGGGATGAGGTCTGCGGGCAGGGAAGGGCAGAAGATGTGCTCCTGGGGCTCCCAGATACACCCGGCGGAAGAGCGTCAGTCTGCAGACGCTCCGAACCCACCTCACTCCTACGCGGGGCGCCGCGGACGAGGAGTGCCTGCCCACTGGGGCTAGAGGGGTGGAGGGCAGGGGGAGGGTCGTGAAGGGTCGGAGGCTTGATGACCCGTCCCCCGCGGAGTCGTGGGGCCACTCCAGCTTGTAGCCCCGTGCAGCCCCCGCCCCCGGAGAGGGTCGGGGTTTGAGGGGTCCGAGTCGCCACAGAGGCCAGGAACCTGGATTAGAATCTACGCTGCTTTCGGCCCCAGCTACCCTTGGTTGGACCGAGCTGATGCCCACCGGGTTCTCGACGAGCTCAGGGAGCACACCAGCTCTGTGTGCCCGGCCGGGGCTTTTTGAAAATTTCCGGGGCCGCTCGGCGGCGCTGCGATTGGCCGCGTTCGGGTAACCTCTATGCAAATGAGGCCGCGCCGCCTCCTCGCCGCCCGAGACCTGGCGAGCTGGCGGGCGAGAAAGGGGCATTCGCACCCGGGCTGGGCGGGCGCACCCAGAGCCAGGCGGGCAGGAACCCCGCGCAGCCGTCCCGTGTCCGCGTGTCCCCCGCGCCGAAGGGACGCCTCGCTAGCCTCGCCGCCCCCTCCCCCTGGATTCCCTCCCCGCCCCTCCCCCCTGCCTGCCTGCCTGCACCACCTTCCACCCAGATCGTCTCTAAAGGGAGTTCTTGGTTTCCTCTGATTTCTTATGAACCCAGGATGGGCAGCAAGGAAGATGCAGGCAAGGGGTGTCCGGCGGCCGGTGGCGTCTCCAGCTTCACCATCCAGTCCATCCTGGGCGGGGGGCCCTCGGAGGCACCGCGGGAGCCCGCTGGCTGGCCGGCCAGGAAGCGCAGCCTGTCCGTGTCCTCGGAGGAGGAGGAGCCGGACGACGGCTGGAAGGCGCCTGCCTGCTTCTGCCCAGACTCGCACGGCCCTAAGGAGCCGGGCCCCAAGCACCACCCCCCCATTCCTTTTCCTTGCCTGGGTAAGGATGCACTTCGCCAGTCCGGCAGCGAGCGAGCGAGCGCGAGGGGAGGGAGGCTAAGCGCCTTGCCAAGACTCCCATGCCAGGCCCCCACCGCCTAGAACTGCGGCTACCGGGGTTTGGGGCCGAGGGGAGGCGACGCGCGCACCTTGGTGCCTCCTCAGCCCGGCGTGCGCTGGGGGGTGGGGGGAGGCGGGGAGCACAGACCCCCGTGCGGTTCGGGCATCTTGGGACAGGTTGAGTTGGAGAGAGTGGACCACAGCGGGTGGAGCACCTACCCGGTGGTACACACAGCTCTGTCCTCAGTCCCTTTGCACATTGGATATTTTCCGGACAGGAGGTCTGCAAGTCGGGTCTAGGCAGTCTGTCTCTACCGAAATCTCTTTCTGCGTCTTTTTCCTCCTCTCTCTGTCTCTGTCTCTTCCTCGAAATGATTAGCACTCCAAGATGATTGACAATGGTGCGTTTCAGAGATGGTTCCTCTTTACAACATCTGACGAAAGGGAGCCCCGCGTTAGTCCTTAGCGTGATTTCCAAACAAACGGCCTGTGAAATGATGGTACCCTATAAAGCTCGAGGAACTCTTCCAGCTCGGTTATTACAGGGCAAAATCGCCTTTTGTAAAATGATGCTAATGTTTCCCCTCCAGACCTTCTCTCCCAGTTGCCACTTGCCCCTTCATAAAGGTGGGAGCACAGAGACCTTAGACTCGGAGTAGCTGGGTGCCTCTCCTGTTGCTTTTTAAAGGCTGGGGTGCTGGGTGCCAGCAAGAGGGAGAAGAGGAGGGGGGTGGTAACTTGGGGCCAAGGCTGCAGGTGCCTGCCAACCGCCTGGTCTCGGGAAGAGCTGGGAGTCTCCGAGGAGGCTCCCCAACTCCAAGGCCTTCTTGTCTGTTCTCGCTCCTCAGGTACCCCCAAGGGCAGCGGAGGCGCGGGCTCGGCGGGCTCGGAGCGCACGCCTTTTCTCTCTCCTTCGCACCCGGACTTTAAGGAAGAGAAAGAGAGGCTCTTGACCGCGGGCTCGCCCTCGCCAGGGTCAGAGCGGCCGAGGGACGGCGGCGCCGAAAGGCAGTCGGGGGCGGCCAAGAAGAAGACGCGCACTGTCTTCTCGCGCAGCCAGGTATACCAGCTGGAGTCCACCTTCGACATGAAGCGCTACCTGAGCAGCTCGGAGCGCGCCTGCCTCGCCTCCAGCCTGCAGCTTACCGAGACCCAGGTCAAGACTTGGTTCCAGAACCGCCGCAACAAGTGGAAGCGGCAGCTCTCGGCGGAGCTGGAGGCGGCCAACATGGCGCACGCGTCGGCGCAGACTCTGGTGGGGATGCCGCTGGTGTTCCGGGACAGCTCGCTGCTGCGCGTGCCGGTGCCCCGCTCCCTCGCCTTCCCCGCGCCGCTCTACTACCCCGGCAGCAACCTCTCGGCCTTACCTCTCTACAACCTCTACAACAAGCTCGACTACTGACCGGCCCGCCGCCCCGCGCCGCCCGCCTGCTCCCGGGCCGCCCCGGCCGCCTCCAGCTCCCCGCTGAGTCTGTCGCGCGCCGCACCCTTCGCAGGGCTCCGAGCAAGGGGGCGTTTCCAGAAATATTAAGAAATACACCATGTGTATTCTTTATCTCTTATTTATGGCTTCTGCCCTACTTTTTGTTTTGATTGTTTCGGGTATTTATCGGCATTCTTCAAGCCAGGTAGCCTGCTTTCTACCCAAACCGAACCAATACTCTTTGAAAACCGTTTGGAGGGGGATGTTCTCGGGTGGTGGTGGGAAACGGAGTTTTGGCCAGTTCGGCTTTGGTTGGTAGAAAAAAAATCAGAAAAACACTGGCAAAACAGGTACACTCCTCCCACATATATACACCTGTTTATGTACATGCACACGCTCTCGGCCAGGCCAGGCCTCTGGGACTTTGGACAAGTATCTAATTGCCTCGTTTCATTTCCCTCATCCGGAGGATGGGTAGGGGCGAAAGGGGGAGAGTTCAGATGTGTAAATATTTTTAAAGAGAAAAAAATAAAACATTTTAAACATCGTTGCTAACTTTGGTGGGATTGATTGCCCCGGCAGGATGACGCGCGGGAGATTTTCAGGCTTTTCGGTGGAAGGGGCTTGCAGGCACCTGTCTGCAAGAGTCTGGCTCGTATCACGTGGAGGGTGGGGCGGGGGTCAGGGGTTAAAAGTCGGGACCTTGGCGCCGCCCAGACTGCATGTGGCTAGAGCTGTCCGACCCCGGTGCCAGTAATTCTCGCTCGGGCTGGGACGCACCCCGGCTGGAATCCAGCTCCAGATCCCGAGCCCGGAAAGACAAAGGAGTGGAGGTAGGCCTTGCTGCTGAAGCGATTGCCTTCGGGAACCAGCCCAGCCGAGCGGCATCTTCCCAGCAATGGAATCGCCTTGAGCTTGGCCACAGCTGGGCACGCTACGGCGTAGCCCGACTCTGCCGCTGAGCCTCCTCTGCAAGGGCGCAGGGCAAGCGGCGGCGCTGCCAGTACCCGGTAAAGTGTCGGCTTTGCTGCCCTGAGACTGGCGTGACTGGCTTGCCGCTGCGCCCAGTTCCCTAGCCGGTGGTAGTTGCTTGTTCCGCACGGAGCGAGAACTGGGAGCAGTAAAGCCGCTCTTCGGCCTAGGAGGGATCCAAGACCTGAGACCAGGCAAAAGGCGCAGGAGGCAAAGGCTCTTCCCCAGTCTTTTGTGGTTAATAGTTTGCATTGCGCGCGTGGCTGGATCAGTGGCCAGCACGCTGCTTCACGCGCCGAATGGAAACGTGACGCGCGGCGGGGGCGCCCACGGACTCCCGCGCTGACACCTGCCGCCGCGCCCGGGCTGGGAGGGCGCTGCACCGAGAGAAGGCGAGTGGCGTGCAAATCGCAGACTCTCGCTCCCGTTAGATCGCAGCCACCTGTTCTGGTAAAACGTCGGAAAAGGAAGCATGAGCTGGGAGGAGGCCAATGGTTCAGCACCACGTGGGGCTAGCTGCTCGGTCCTCCTACCTCGGGGACCCCAGCCCCGCCGAGCAGGTGCAGAGGAGCCAGGAGTCCGCAGCGCAGAGGCTCGATCTCATCCGCTAGAAGGAAAACATTTGCGTGTGAAACTTGTCTTTTTGAGCTGAGAGGACTAGAAATTATATACATTTTGTGAATATATTCAGAATATCTGTCAACGTCTTTGTGACCCACAGTACTGTGTAAAATGTCTGGCCAAAAAGATTCGATCTAATATTGTCCTTTTTGAGATCATGTTTTTTTCTTCTCACATTAGATTTAGTAAAAATCACAGTCTATTCCAAGGTGACGTCAGAAGGATGTTATCCAAGAACATATTTGTCAATACTAGATTAGTTCAATTGCATTTTTTAAATTTCAACTGAGTTCACATCAATAAATATTTACTGTGCCCTAGTGCATGCTGAGAAACTATGCTAAATATTGGGTAGTCAGAAAACAAAGTGACATTGGATCCCATTTTTTCCTGATTTATTTTATAGATACACTTTATTTCAATGAAGTTCTCTTGTTATGATGACCCTCTTTAAATTCTTTTCCTCTAAAGTTGCTGTTTGAATATTCCATGAAGAAACAAGCAAATTGCTTCCAAAGAACTGCTTGTACAGGAATACTCTATCCATATCATTTTTGCTTGCATTTCAGTAGATTACAACTTTAACAAGAGCTGATGGTTTTAACAGTATCGTGCCACTATATCCTCCTTGGGCTTGCTTTTGTTATAGGAAATGGTTTCTTCTACTCACTGTAGGCATTTAATGACAGTGATTTTGCCCTTAATATTTATGGGAAGGATCCTTTTCCAGTGTATCATAATGTGTATATCTCCCTCTTTACTAAAACAGAAATTAGCAGTCAATGGTGACCCAACAGTGTAATTAGTTTTTAGGAATTCCTCTCTCTCACAGGTAACTATTAAACACACACGCACCCCACTGCATTTGGATTTAAAATGTTGTTCAAGACTCCATTGTTGCCAGATTTCCTATCTCAAGACTATCAATTCATTTGAATAATCAGCAAAATCACCAGCCTCCTTTCAGGCTCTAAACTGGATTTAAAAGATTGACGTTTCTTAAAACTCAAATCGAGTCAGGCTGCAACTACATGCCCAGAGGGACCTGAATCATACACACACTGGATAATGAAATACACTTAGATTTTATTAGTGGATAATTCATGCTCAGAATCTTGGAACACTAATAAAATTAAATAAACAACTGGGAGAAGGAACCAAATAAGTCAGGAGATAAAATCATTTAGCTAAAGTTAGAAGTAAGGAACTGCATTTTAAAATTTTGAACTTGGCCATTAACTTGTTGAAAAAGAAGGCATAGAGAACCAAGGACTGGTGAGGAAGAAGGGCGAGAAATTTTTAGTAATATCAATGCAATAGGCAGAAATGTGGTAGTTGTTGTTATAAGTACATTTATTGTGTCGGGAATCATAAAAAGAGGTGCATACAATACCGGGTGTGTGAATGCATAAAAATCAACAACACTTTCTCCTATTAATGTATCTTAAAAACAAAACACTTTAACCCCAACAATTTCCTCTCACTTCCTGCAACGTCACATAATAAAGCAAAAAATTTTCTTCACAAAAAGGCAATGAAAAAGAGGTTATAGTATAGATTAAATTTAAAATTTCAGTGAGCCTTTGACGTTCAAGAGTAACTCAGTCACTTCATTCCACTGATTAAGTATTGCTTTTCTTTCATGGAGATAAAATAATTTCTCATTGCAGAACAACCTTCTTGATCCTCATTTCTGGAGGATTCTAGAAACAGCAAATGGAGCAAACTGAGCCTGCAATTCTGTGGAGTGGCAGGGCAGGGTGGAAGGGGAGAGGCTTCTCTAGCTGTCAGTTTAGCACCCTACTATAAACATGTCTCTAAAAGAAGCAGCTGTGTGAGCTTTAACACATTGCAGAGTATTGTTTCCCAGGCTGTTCACTCTTCTAGACCGGGAGTTCCTCCAGGGCAAGGGCTAGTCTGATTAAATGCCTCTTCCCAGAGCTCTCCTCAGGCCCAGCATATAGCGGACGCTCAATAAAAATGTTTGCGGAAAGATGGGATGGAGAGATAAAGCATAATATAAATAAGGATGAGTTTCTGAGAGATCAGCAAAACTTGGTGCAGTGGGAAATGGGAGACCTTGGTTCATCGGTGAAAACTCCAGGAAAATGAGAAAAAAATCAAGGCAAATAATGCAATTGATTAGAGCAAATATTTCCTTCTCTACTCCAATTTTTGGTTAGCTTCACGGGCGTATGCACATCCGGGGAAGGGGATAGTAATGTAGCTCTATAGGACTATGGACCAAAATGGAATTCTTGGGTCTGAGAGACTAACTGCTGGGTTGGGGGCCAAGGGGGAGCGCCACGGGAGGAGGTGGAAAGAGGATCTTTCCCGCCTACTATTCCGAGGGCAGGCAGAACGTCAGTCCCTGCAAGACTACATCTTCCAGCGTGCCGCAAACGGGCCTGAAAGGACGCGAACGCAGCCTTGGCGCGATGCTCCTTGGGAATTGTAGTTTCCACTCGTCCAGCTTGAACTCGGGTGCCTCAGCATGGTGGTAAAATGAGACCACGTGATCGGAAAAGCCGCGGTTTCCCTTTGAGCCGGAACAGGATGACTGGGTTGACCGACGCCGGGCAGCTGAGCGGACCAATCGGCTGTCTAGAGTGAGACGTTGGCTTTTGAAATCAGCCAATGGCAGGCCTATGCTGGAGTTTCCTCTCCGCCTCCTTCACCCAGCCCGCGAGTGCTCCGAGGGAGGCGAGGAGGCGGCGGCGGCAGCGTTGAGCGGCGGAAACGTTACCTCTGAGGGGTGCCCAAGGTAAGGGGGCTAGGCGACGGGGCGCAGGAGCAGACTCTCCGGGAACTCCCCAGGCCCGCAGCTAGTAGAGCCGTTCGCAGGGCATCCCGTTTCGCTTCTATTGTTTCCGCTGTATTTTAGGGGCGTCCGGGGCGACGGGCCCCAGGAGCGCGGAGAGGGAAGGGTCCGGGGTGCAGGCACCGCCGCTGGCCAGGCTGGGAGCTGGGCTTAGGGGTGCGGCCGCACGGGCTTGGCCAGTTGGGGCGCGGCGGGGGACGCCTGGAGGGGGTAGAGTCCTGCCCGTGGCGGGAAGCAGGCTCTGCGCAGGCGCAGAGGCTCCTCGCCGTCTTTCTCTCGGCCCCTCCCCCTGGGATCCCCCACTACCTGGCCATCACCCCGGGACCTTGAGGACTCAGATAGGGCACCTGTTCTGCAGATGACCGGTTCTAACGAGTTCAAGCTGAACCAGCCACCCGAGGATGGCATCTCCTCGGTGAAGTTCAGCCCCAACACCTCCCAGTTCCTGCTGGTGTCCTCCTGGGACACGTCCGTGCGCCTCTACGATGTGCCGGCCAACTCCATGCGGCTCAAGTACCAGCACACCGGTGCGGTCCTGGATTGCGCGTTCTACGTAGGTGTTCTCCTTTTCCGCTCCTGTGCT